TGCCTTGTGGGACACTCCTTGTGACTAAACAAGTTTGTGAACAACATGGAGTCGCCCCCGAACGAGGCCTTTTTGCCTCAGCACCCTCTCTCTCTGTCTCTCGCTCGCTCGCTCTCGCAGTAATGGAAGGGGTTGAAGCAGTTTTGATACCTGTGTGGATGGCAATTTTGTTTTGTTTCCTCGGTTTTGGGCGGCGTCTACTCGGGTTCTGAGCTCGCTTTCCCAACCTCTCGGCTGTAGTTGGGAAGTTAGAAACACATTTTCGTTTCGACCATCCCACTGACAATCACGGGCAAGGCCAATCGTCCGATAGCCTCGAAACTCACAACAAACGCCTCGACTTGCAGACGTCATCAGCTAGCTTTCGCCCATAACCAGGACATGCTTTAGGAGGCTGCAACCAGGCACGGGGTTAGAGCCAAGGCAGCCAGTCTCATTCATAAGCAGGCATACCTGGCATTCGTACTGCACAGTACTAAGATGGGACTGTGCTCCCTGTACTCATGGCAGTGATGTCACTTAGTCTGTCTTAGCCCATGACAAGACTAGAGGGGAAGTGCTGCCTGGAAGCAGGGAGAGCCAGCCCGGCCATGCAAGCCCAGAAAGCCAAACAAGAAATTCCAGGCCTCGGACCTATAGGACATTCGAGGACCCCAGGATACCCAGAAACCGCAGAGCCAAGTCCTAAAAGCGCCACCCGCCGCCCGCCCACCCAGAATGATCCACCCAAATGGCCCTCCGATGTTTCGGACTGGAATACGGCTGGCTTCCCCCTACTGTTGCTGCCTGCTGTTTCCATGCAGTATCTCATCTGTTTTGCAGCACTTAAAATTGTCACGCACGCGCAACTGGTCTAAAGCCCACTGCTGAGTTCCGAGCAGGCTGTAAACAGCTTGGAGATGGGCAAGGCACTGAACAAGGGTTCCAAGCAATCTGTATCCGCATTCATGACTTTAAACCTTAGTCACGCCGTTGGCTTCAGAACAGACTCGCAGTCACTACTAATGAATCGGCCAAAATGCACGCACACGCGAACAAGTGGCAAGGCAAACATCGAGCTGCCCACACTGGGGAATACGCTGGATGCGCTCCTGAGCCAGGTTTATCATGGAAGAGCAGGTCTACACCTTCTGGAAAACTAAACAACGTTCTCCGGAGGTCTTGAAAGCATGCTGCTGCAGGCAAGTCTCTCTGGGAAATCCGCTGACACAATCAATCTGTGGCCAATGAGCTGTGTACAAAGGATTGCGCATGTGTAGAGCACGACCAAGGCAAGAAGGAACACCCAGGTCATGCCCTGCGCAAAACAAGACATCTTCAAAGCCCCTGCAGGAGATCGATAAGGCCGGTAGCGGTGCAACCGAAAGGATTTAAAGGACTTAACATTGAGCTTCTCGAAGACTGTGTGTCGCGAAGACACCTGGAAGGATTCCAAAATGCCCAACGCCAATGTAAACAGGGGTGGTATATTCCGGATCAATCCTTGGTGCTTGCAGCTGAATCTCCACAAGTTAACAAACCAGAACATCTCACCACTGTTTGCTCTGTACACATTTCACTGATTTGGATCTGAGGTGCTCAACAAGCGCATCAGCCGCAACAGCCTCTAAAGGTTGTAGTTTGTCTTGAAATGCTGACCAATGTTAGCAGGACAAGGCAAAAGCAAGGGACGAGGTGAAACGGGGACCAGGGTGCAAGCACGTGCTAGCAATCCCCAGCTAGGCACAGCCTTGCCAGCCGCAGCAGCCGCATGACCTGCGCCTGTGGCTGACCTCCACTGAACGGTGCCTCCTGTGCAATTGCTCAAAGGATCCGTTTGTCCTACAGCTGATACTATAGCTCATGACCCCAGCCCGGAGCCCGGCCCGGGTCCTCCACTGAGTCCACTGCTCCGCTCATGTAAAGGGAGAAGCCCACCACGGGGAGGATCCACTGCTCGACGACGCCGAGCAGCACGATTATCAAGTCCTGCCCACCATGGCAGTGTGCAGACATTGAGTTTACAGAGTCTAAACCACATCCTTGTGCAGAGATGGGGTCCAGCCACCTTTCGGAAAGTTAAGGACTGAACTAGAGTAACTAGAGGTGTCAGCCTACCTAGCTCTCTTCTCTTGACACCCGATATCTGTGCAGTTTTGTTTGTGGCCGAAGAACTTCTCAGCGAGGGCTTACGTCTGACTACTCCTTTCTACTTGCTACGCCACTTGTGCACCTGGGCGCATCGTTCGAAGGTCGAAGCACCAAGCAGACAGCCATGGACATGTAGGCTTTTGATGCAAGTAAACGCTCACAAGAGCGCCCAGCATGCTCCCCAAGGGCAGTACTCTTTCGGAACATGTTGGGACATGAGTTTTCATCCTGCATGGGTGCGAGGGGCCATTGTTGAAGCCTCGCGTGCCTTTCTCGAACTGCTGATCTCCAACTCCCCGCCCTTAAGCAACAAAAATTTCTCGGCCCCAACTCAGGTCAGCAGAGTTGAAGTTGGAGGAGGGTCCAGCCAGTTGTAGAAGAATTCATTCCGATCGTCGAAAAACCTCGGGTTGTTCCAATCGCCAAGTTCCATGACACAGCGCAGCCTTCGCGTAGCAACACTCAAACGTTGGGCTGGAACTGTTCAGACCATGCAGCCGGCAGCCCGAATTGCGAATTCGCACAACGAGCTCGAAGGTAAAAATGGCGAGCATTAAGTTATCAAGCACCCTGTCGGGGCCAGGTTGAGACTTGTGGCCGCGACACAACCTGCACGATGCAGTGCGCAATCAGACCTGCCCACCTGAAGCCATGAAAGCCGGGGAAGTTCAGCTCCAACCCAATCATCGCCGCGTTCAAGAGGATTACCTCCCGAGCCATCATCCTGGCCTACAGCCTACAGTCCTACAGTCCTGGAGGCTCCAGGACCACTGCAGCCGGAAGACTGCCAGGGTGAAGAGCTGAAAACCTTGCTCTTCAGCCCACGACGTGTCGCTCAGGAGCCGAGCGAGCTTCACGACCTGAGGCTTGCTTAGGGTGACTGCAGCTCGATTGGCCATGGCTGCTGCTGCACCGCTTGGCAGCGCGTTGGCCGAGTGACACGAACCACACGCAGGCCCTGCAACCAGGCTCCCCATTCGGGAGTGGAAGCTCCAAAGATGTGTGGGCCTCATTTTCGGGAAAGACAAGAACGAAATCCTGCTCAACCCTGCTGGGCACAGGAGCAACACGCCACCTCAGCCCATGGCCAATCCAAAGATCTAGCACGCCCACGCAGATGATCAGCAAATCAACCCAAAAGGTCCAGACTTGCTGGCATGGGCCAATCAACAGATCCTAGCATGCTCCCAGTTGATATGTGCAGATGGCTTAAGACCAGTAGCTCTGTGCTGTCCTCATGGTGCAGGGCCAAACGCGCTGAGAACTCTGCAATGTAGAAGACAAGAATAGCACTTTCCCACCAAAAGAATTCCCTGACCTTCGTATTATCAGCCAGCCTCGGCTGTTCAAGCTCACTGGGATTCACCGGCCATCCAAACAATGCGAACAGCATGAAAATCTTTCTGCAACCCTTTGAGTGGCTCCATGCAGATCAGCAAAAGGTTCATCACAATCACCAAAGCGACCACGCCGTCAAACCACGCATGGTCCACGAACTGAAGAAAGCGGCAGCCTGAACGCTTTGGGACCCTCGAACTCGAAAAAATGAAGCGCTGCTCTTGTTGGCGGGGTCGCCTGGAGGCCCGTCGCTCATCCTGAACTTTGGGGAAGAGCGATACATCGTCGACTTTCGCCGATATCGGTCTACCTCCGCCAATCAGCGACTGAGTGCAGCATGCAAACTGTGGAGCAAGTTGTTTACATCTTCTGCCGTACCGTGCCCCCGCGGGGTGGGAGGGGAAACGAAAGCTCACCAAGGCGTAGGGATCAGTAGCAACAATCACATGACCGCGAGCTCAGGGTTTGGGGTTCCGGTCGAGGATTCAAGAACCCCCCCCGAGCCCTGACCATGCCGCTCTAGGCCAAACCTCGCCAAAATGTGCACGTTTACTTCCACTAACTTGCCAAACTGGTGGTACGGTTTTGGAGCACATTTACTCCAAGAATCAACTTGTGCTTGCCTCAAGAACGTGCCTATCCTGATGGGCCCACAGAGCACCGAGCAAGAGGCGTAGCCACCCCCACCCCCTGCAGCCCAAGCCGCGTGAGACCCCAGCAACCAACCATCCGGAATCCGCGGACTGGTAAGCAACTTCTTCCAATCAAGCCCCTGCTTCAGATCAGGCGTTTCACAAGATTCTTTTTGACGGTCCCCATTCGGGCCATCGAGGTGTATTCAGGACAGGAGAGTCTGCCAAGCGGAGAAGGCGACCGGAAGGCGGGGGGAAAGAGGCGGTACGCGGCGGAAGGGGCAGTGAGACCGGCCACTTGCACGGACGAGTTAGGGCTCTGGCAAATTCAAAGGAGTGACCTCCACTGCTGTAGCAGGGAACACCCGGTCAGCTTCAACACTTGGGCTGTCCCGCTATTTTGCCACTGGGGCCTTGGCCTGATTCAACAGTCAACTTCTGTGTTTCTTGATTGGGGCCTGCAGACTTCTGAGCTGGCATTTTCAGATTCAGCCTCCGACCTACAGTTCGGGGACGAAAGTGACGAACCCAAAGCCCCAAACTCTCCACTTCGAGCCCCCATGCCTTGTAGAAGGGCGGCGCCCTCTAGGCTCTCTCTCAGCAGACCCAAACAGCAGGCAGCTCCAGACAACATCCGTGCAAACCACTGATTGCCTGGTCCTGCTTGTCTAGAACCCTTCTGCGTATTGCTTGCCGCCGTTGTTCATAGAACCTGGAACGCAAACGAATGTCCACACAACAAGCAGAACCTGCCCCGGGAACAGCTTGCCATGTCCTTGGCAATCTGATCAGATCCAAGGGTCTGATCCAACTCCTGCAGGCGGCGCCTCTTTGCCTTAGGGGAGGTTTAGCAGGGTTGCTCTGAGCTGCTCTGCAAATGTGTGGCCTGTGGGGACGTCAGCCAAGGCGCAGCCAGCTGCCTGTTGATGTCGGCTATCCTGTCCTGCTCGGCCGCGACTTGGGCATTTTGCCAGTCCGTGTCAACCGAGCCTCCGCACAAAAACTCGCGGCAGGAATGAGAAAATCTACCTAATTCATATTGACTTCGATATTACTACGTATTGCTACGATATGCCCTCCGCATCCACAGTCCTTCGGGATCATTCGAGGGATCCTTCGAGCCTGCGGAAGTCTGATTGCCAGGGCTCTGGTCTGCCAAGCTGTAGGCGTAGTCACCGTAGTCCGCGTGCTCGTTAAGCAAAGCACCTAAGGCCTCAGAAGCCGACAACTCCGACAAGTCAAGAGGCAAAAGAACGAAGCAAAACGAATCAAATCCCAGACTCTTTGAGTGCGCGAAGGAATGCGTTACATGGGCGAAGCCACGGAAAGGCATGGCAGAATATGGAATCTCAATGAGTCATGTGTCTCACGGGCGCAGCCATGGACGCGACTGCAAGCTGGAACGTGCAAGGAAGCGTGAACATTGACGCATGCACTGGCCAACTGCAGCACAAGTCGGCACAAGTCGGCACTGTCAAGCGTGTGAGCCTCGGCGCCTCACATCATGAGAACGCTGAGCCGATCTGAGCTGCCGGCTCGGCTCATTCCGTCACGTCATCGTTTGCAAATGGGCCATCAAAACGAACTAGCTCATAAACTGATTTCAGATTGCTTGGTTTTTGGGTGGGGCCCAACGCATTCAATGCGGGTCCAAGCTGATGAAAACTGACGAACACCGCACACCAACTACAGAGCCGCCAGTGCTGAAATGGCTGCAGCCAGAGGATGCCAGAGGTTTTGGAGATGGTTCTGTGCGATCGCCGGGCGCCTATTCTTGCATGCCTGCACTTGCAGATTCTGTCGCAATTTGTTGCAGACAGCAGATCGACCCCTGCCTGAGCCGTGAAGCTATGCCACTATGCAGCAACACTGAGAACCGAGACCTGCAGCTGCTTCTTCAGTCATCTTCGCAGGAAGTGCTGGAGCTGAAACTTCACATAGCCTTGTTGCCCTCGATGCCCTCAGATGCCAAACGCTGATTGCGCTCGACCTGGCACGCATAGCACAGCGAGAAGTATATCTTGCAATTGGAGGCACACGTAAAAAGCTGAATGCCTGCCGCCGATACTGCTGCAGCTCCTCCACCCTGTCAATAGCTGCAAGTTCAATGCTCGCAGAGGCAATGCAGAGGCAATGCAGGGAGTTAGCCTCTGCTCCACCATCCCATCAATGCTGCTCTCGGGGTACTTGAACAGCTCTTCTGCCACCTGCTGATCCAGTCCGGCTCAACAACACCATTTGCGAAGGCGCGCAGCACGCCAAATCAATGAACATCAAGTCGAAGGATCCTACTTCATCACGGCTTATTTTGACCAGCCAGCTGATGTCCAGCAGGTGTACGATTTTGTATGTCCATGCTGCTTTTCACAAACCTTTTCGGCACAGCAACCTGCCATGCTGCAGAGCATGCTTCCACAGTGCTGCCACGAAAATGTGGCTTGCCACATGCCAATCTGTGCACTGCTAGCCGTTAGCTCGATTGTCGTTGAGCACACATGCACGTGTTCTGGTCCTGCTCAAGCGGAAACGGGAGTCTTGCGAAGCCAGTCGCGCCACGTCCGATGCCAGGTTGGTCCCAATCTTGCTTGATGCTTGCGCAGGGACGTGCAAGGCCTTCCTCGCGCTTCGCTTTGGGCGTCGGCGTCGGCACGCAGAACTTCATCAGCTTGCTCAGGTCTACGTTCCTCTGCGAAGGCTTCTGGATCTGGACCGCTCCACTCGAGCACATCGCCGAGCTGTACGGCGAACGAACTTGTCAGAGCGCAACTCCTTCATGTCACGGATTTGCAAAAACCAACAGCTAGGCAGTTCTGCTCTCTGACATGAGACAGGGGGGGGCAGCTACCTCAGCCAGCTCCAGGGCTTTTGACTTTAAGCAACACGGTTGGAGTTTTTGATGGTTTTGACTCTTGACGCCCAGAGACCTCGGAAGCGAAGCTCAAAGCATTCTCATCCGAGCGGACAGCTGCCAAAACGACCTGACACGCGGGCTGGACTCTGCAGTGCATCGTGTGCTCTTGCAACTGAAGATGCAGAAAAAGTTTTTGCCTCGCGGCAGCCCCGAAGTCGCGCTGAAGCCTCCGGATCAGCCGCGCGTAAATACATCACGGAACACGTGGGCAGGGGGTCATTCGGGCGTACAATTAGCCGGACGGCAAAACGAAGGGCAGCGCCATGTCTTCGCACAGCTGGTGCAACTATGGATTCGTCGTCACCTTCGGACAGCCACGAGGCTAAGACCAGTCCCACAAAATGAGTTTGACAACTTTGCTCCAAGCATGTTGCGCTCAGCGGCATAAGTCGACGGCAGCATGTTCCAGCACCATCCCTGAGCCATGCACAGCTGCCAACACCACCTGCGGATGTCCCCGGGTTAATTAATTAAGAAGGAAACAAACATGAGCTCTTTCTCAGCCACTAGCAATTGTTTGCAAACATCCTCTGTTGTAAGACTGCTTCCCACCTCCCGCTTGGCACGCAGCGAAGGTGCTGCAAAAGCCAAAGCATCACCGTTCTGGTGCACCGCGGCGAGGACAAGCTGTCCGGCAGAACACAGCAGCTCAACCCACAGCGTGATTGCGCACAAGCAAGGCCCACATCTATCTCCAAATCAAACATGCCGTCCAGATGCCTCCTCGTCCTGCCGAAGGGCCGTGCTGGCGAATGCTAACGCAGCACCGTCGCGGCGGACAGCACAAAGGACCAAATTTCGGTCTGCCTGCGAGCAATATGCGACCTGCCTCACTGACAGCTCTTCTGGATTGAAACCTTGGACCTTTGACCACTTATTTCCCAAAAAATTGCTCGAGGTCACATGCTCTTTGCAGCCATAGTTGATCTTGCCTGCAGCTTCGTGTCAGCACATTGCAGTGCCCAGCCCCCAAACTGAGCCACTTGTGCCCCGCATTCGTAGATCCTGACAGAAAGTCTCAGGGCAACTCTGCAGCACAAGCCACAAGCTTTTACTTTTACTTCAGGAGAAGCTAAGGTGTTGAATGCACGATTTCGGGCTTCGCTAACTTCGGCAGAACTGATCGCAGGATGTCCAGCCCGTTCTCTCAATGGCAGCGAAAACAATGTCGCGGTCGCCCCGCAGCTCCGCACTAGCGTACGTCAGTGCATATCCATTCCGTTGCGCTGACTTCCTGGACTGATGCTTACATTGATGCCAGCTTCATCGACTGTAGCTTGTCACTGCACGAGCTGGCACTCGCAGCCAGGAAGCAACACAAAGTCGCGATCGCAGCGGAGGGCGACGCTGGCAAATTGGAAAGCATTCCCATCTTGCCCAATGGCCATCAGAACTACCTTGCAGAAACCGTGGCGAGATGCGCGATATCAATAGTTTGTGAATATAGTTGCTTGCAGGCTGGAACCCTACGTATGAAAGCTTGAGCATGCCTTTGCACCCGAAAATGTGCGCGCCTCTGGGTCATTTTGTAGCGCTGCTGCAGCAAATTCTAGTGCGAGTCCATGTCGAGTAACAGCAGCAAGCACAATTTCCCGATCTGCCTCTACAGGTGCCAGGACGAGTTCGAAAGTGACATTGTAAATTTCGTTATGATGATGCACCGCAAAACAAGCCAGCAAAAGCTAAACGTCACCTCTCACAGCTTCTCAATTGCCTGCAGCGACTCATCTGCGCATGCAAGAGCAAAGCCACACCTGCCATGCTGACGCATTCTGGGGCAGCATGCGGTTCTAAAACTGTTTCACGCCGCTCACTTGCATTAACAGGCGCAAACATGCGCAAACCTTGACTTTTCAATCTTTCCACTTTGTCAAACTTTGCCTGCGCACTGCTTCCAGCACCACCACTTTATCTCCGCGCAAATCGCGAGATGCCCACTGCAAAGCATCGTCATCAACACGGACGGCAGTCACGAGGACCTCTCGGTCTTCCCTGGACAGCTTGGCATAGCTTGGTCAGTTTGCGACAGCGGACAATCACAAGCGGCCACTCAGTGCAAAGTCCTGATCAGCTCCGGCGCCTTCGACAAGTCCGCCTCGCAGGTCGACACCTGCACGGTGCATCTGCTACGAATCTCTCGAGTCTATCTCTACCTTCTGCGCGACCTTCTCGAGCCACTCAACCTGCTCAGCAGGACGCCGAACAAGCGTGACGTCCAACTCCAGATCGCATGGCAAGTCCTGCTTTCAGACCACCGTGAGGCTGTCGGCTGTTGCATGTCCAAGAATCTTCCAGTCCTTCAAGCAACGAAGCTCCCGTCCGTTGTGCAGTAGCCGCTGCTGAGTTTCCGGAATTCTGCAGATGGCTGCCACCCGGACTTTCAGTGCCTGCAGGGCGTTTGCTGGGTCCTGGAGATTTCCTTTTCGAAAACCGAATTGAATGGGCAGGCTGGGGCACGTTTGGTCATGGCATATCACTGCCTCAATCGCTTCCTGCCGGCTGGTGGTTAGGCAGCAGATGTTGTTCCCAGCGAGGCTGCGCACACAGACACGCAGCTTGTCATTGTCCATGTCGCCCTGGAAACTTTGGGTAATTGCCACCTTCTGCCCATGAACGTCCTCATTCTTTCGGTGCGGCAAAAGGCTGCGGAAGCAGAATCTGGGTCAACGGACCAAAAGCAGCTCGAAGGGCCATCCGTACTTAGTAAGTACTTAGTTGCGTAACAGCACACTCGACCTTCAAAGAATTTGTCCGCCTGCTCAGCGTCGCTTTTCTTGGCGCCTTTTGAAGAAGGCCTCAAGAGGCACTCTCTTGTATAAGGCCCTGGATGCCATGAACACGTCAAAAGCACCTTAAGCAATCTTGCTGAACACGCTTCCAAGGCTGGAACGAGGGGTCAGGGAAGAGATGCTGCATAAATTCACGCCAAGCCCTTTCGCTTGCCTGGCTGTGCTGCAAAAACTCAGGTGGGAATTGGCTGATCTAAATTGTGGGCCTTCGAAGGTATTGTGGCCCTTTCCGGTTCGCGTCTACACTCCAAGAGCTCATCGCTGTAGCAATGTGCGCAAGGCTGTAGAAACAGCTAGGTGCTGGATGGCGCTGCAGGTGCATCACGCCACGCAAAGCCGCTTGGGCAACAACCTGCCTGGCCACTGGACGGAAGGCCAATGCTTTGAACTGAGTCCTGCGCCCAAGCCGTTCCAAACTTAGAAGTTGCACCGGCTGTGCTGAGGACATCATCTGCATTCCTTCCCAGCGGCCACGCACACCGGCTTAGAGTGGTCCAGCTGCTCGGGTAGGCCGCCTGCCACGGCAACGGCACTGGAAAGCAGTTTGCCTCAAGCGACCGGTCCGGTCGCCTTTTGGGGCCACGCCGAAGAGCAGCTGTCGCAGGACACTCCGCATGGCGTTCATCGACGCTTTCTCCTGCAAGGGTCTCTCCCTGCACCCCTGATCTCGAACAAAGACATCGCTCCTTGAGAGAGCACAAGACTAGGTGCGCGCCATGAACCAAAGCGTAGTGGCGAAGCCTTGCGGAGTGTTCGTGTTCTCCTTTACCGGAACAAGTCATCGAAAACCCGGAGGCAGCGACGCTCTGCTGAGGTTCTTCCGCTTCTCTGGGTCAACTTCGGAGGCCAGCACATCCCACTTTGTGCCTGGGCCGAGACTAAGGTGCTTGTGGCCTGGCTCGAGCCCTGAATTCAAAATCTTGAATCCTTTTTCGAATCTGCAAAGTCAAGTTTAGTTCGAAAGGATCGTGTGAAACTGACTGGTAGTGAACACGGCACGCATGGGCTTCTTTGGAAGCCAGGATCGCATATCAGCATGCCTCAAACTGGTGAGGCTGTCGGCCAGAAGCTTTGCCGAAAGCTCCTGAGAACCAGCGACGTTGCCTGTGAGAGCAAACACGGGCTGTTGACTGTCTGTTGAGTGGACACCGCATCCTCCAACATCCTCCAGCGTCGCCCAGCACCGGAAAGCATCAACAAAAACTGGCGATTCTGCATGTGGCGCACGCCTCCAATCATGGAGTTCTTGAGAAGGTGTGGCGGGGCGGGCGTTGCCCAAACTTTCTTGGCGACCCTCACAGAGGCAACTACTTGGCTGACAAGTCCGTGCACTAAGCTAGCTTCTAGTGGTCAACAATGCGCTCCACTGCGCTTCTGATTCGGCCTCAAGCTCTGAAACCGGTCAGGCCTTCAGGGTTGCTTGGCAGCGTGCTATGATGGTGACGGTAGGTCGCGGATTTCTCACGATTGGTGCGGAAAGACAGCTGCTTGGAAAGCCCCTGCATCGATCAATCCTCGAGCCGCAGGGCCAATATCCACCCAGCAAGCGGTTGGAGTTTGCGGACTCTGAACATCCGAGCCAGATACAGCCATAGCAAAGCCAAGTATGCGTGGGGCGATCCATGCTATCTCACTGTAGAGCCGAGTAAAATTCGGAGCACGACAAAGCGAGACATCTGCAGCATCGGCAAAGTGCGTTGCTGATGAATGTCCACAGAAGCTCAATGTTTGGACCATGAGGCCACGGCCGAAGATCACTAAAGGCACCTCAGACGCGCAAACGCAGGCATGGTCAATAGTTAACCACACCCAGCAGCTGATGATGCCACCCACACCCAATCTTTTACAATGCCGCTTGGCAAGCCCGCTTGCGCTTCCTTGGCTTTCGTCCACTCCTGTTCATGTTCCTGCTTCGGCTGGACATATCCTCCAGGTATACTCCTGTGCGGGGTTAGGAAAACTACGGCCCGCCACGCTGACCGTGCGAGGTCTTTTTTCACAAGGGACTCGACTGCTGCCCTTTCTGCCCAGACCGTGCGACGTCTGATGCTGGGGTTTGGGGCTTCAATGCCACAAAACCACTTCGGGTTTCATGCTCCGTCTAAGTTATGTGTGCAGGTTCACGCCCCTTTTGTTAACATGTTTTTGCCTGGGCATGCATCCGGGGCCCTTTCTCTGCACTCTACAACCCCGCCCCGCCCCGACCCCCCAACTTCTTGTCTGGAACTGCTTCTGCAAAAGCGACCCGTGGCCGAGGCGAGCCGCACAGCGTCAATGGTGTTACATTGACAACTGCATCACTTTCGTCGGATAATCATGTAGGAGCATTTTTACCAAAATATTGTGTGCTACATCCCGATTGTATTAACGTTGACATGTCAAACCCCACCCTCGGAGAGTAGCAAGCCTGCAGTGAAGCCCTGCAGTGCCCGCTTCCAAAAAAAACTAAAACTTGCGGAGAGTCCCGCCGAGCCGAGTATCTTTTGAGCACAATCCCGCCAGAGAAGCCCGCAAGAGACCCGCGACAAAAGCCTGGCTGGCGGGAGTATCTGTTAATTATTGCCCGTCTGAAAACGGCAGCATGGCTCCTTCATCAAGCAGCTGTAAGGCGGGATGACCGAAGTCCAAGAGTCAAATGGATGCTTTCTTGACCGGAGGTTCCAGCAAGGAGGCTCGGCATGTTTTGATTCTTGGTCGAATCACAAAGCTCTGGTGCCAAAAGGGCACAAGTAGCTTAATCAACCAAAAAAGCAAAAAGAACCGCAAAGATGCCCATAATGATCATCGGTCACTGCCAGCCTGAGCCTGGCACCGGGAATGGGGTGATGAAACCACGATCTGGGTGCTCCGCATAGGAGTTGGCGCGCAGCCTGATCTGCGTGGGCTCTGCATCACTTCACCCTCTTAGCAGCTTAGCACCTCTCAAAGCCCTCGGGATTTGCGCCAACCTGATTAACTGCTAAAATTCGGGGTTGCTGCGCTCGCTGGGCATCGATGTGCAGCAGGCCAGGCGGGTTCTCCTCACACAGCGATGTGTCCCCAACCATCTAGCCTCACCTGCCTTCAGTGCTGATCATAGATCTGGAGGGCTTTGAAAGGGCGCGTGCTCCCATCAATTGCAGGCAGCGGAGTCAAAAGTGAGAACACAGCAGATCCAATAGATGCCGGATGGGAGCAGTAAGGCCCGCGATCTGCCAGTGCTCCGTCCCGGTTCATCCGTTCACCCTCACGATTTTCCTGGATTCACAGAAGGTCTTGCGATGCGCGGGGGAAACGTTTGAAAAGCTGCCCAGCCTTTACATGTGCGTTTTTGGCTTTGACGTGGCTTTGCGCGGAAGAATCTGTGGGGGGGCGGGGGGGGGGCAGCCTTCGTCTTTTATGCTGTCTTGTCTTGTCTCTTTCTTTCAAGGCCCAGAACTAACGAGGCAACGCGAGGAGCGTGCGGCGGGAGCAATGCAAGAGCCAAAAGCGTTGGGGTTCCTTATTACTACTAACTTGTCGACCTCAGAGAACATTCCGCCGAACCCTGCCGAAAGCTCCGAGCTGCAATCCCATTAGCTTGCCGCAGAATGCTAAATTCGAGGCTGCAAGACGGCGAAAGTGCGCCCTTCAGTGAAAACCACATCTTGAAGTCAGCTCGTAGTTGTTGGTACTTGCGTGCCGCACTACAACAAAAACGTCGCATACGGCATAGCCATGAAAAGACGCAAAGGGTCGTCCCTCGCGAAACCGAATACGCATGGCGCCACAGCAAGAGCACCCAGTATCACCCAGTGCACCTGCAGATTCGAACGGCGCCACAGCGAAAGCACCGAAAACAAGCTGTGGTTCCAATGTCCGCGTCGCGAGCGCAAGCACAGCATGGGGAATGTGATGGACAGCTCAACAGGCCTGCGCTAGTGCCTGCAAACTCTTGTCCACATGGCTTCGGAGAAGCTGCAACCTCCCACAAGAACAAAGCAAAAACACAGGCAAGAACGCATAGTTGCAAGAATAGATCATGTTACACAGTTCGCTTCAACTGTGGCGGGAGGGCCACTTCTCCAAGTTGGGAACACCTGACATTCCAAATCGCCCCAATCTCTGAGATTACCGGCCATAACCCCAGCAATTCGTTCGTACTCCAAAGTGCATGTGGTCAATGTACAGCTCGGCTCGTTTTTTTGTGTTTCATCATTTCGGTGCCGAGATGCAACTGTGGGGCCTCAGAAGCCACGTTGCGACTGTCATGCAGAAAGCATCGCAGCGACAAGCTTCAGCTAGTGGCAGCTAGTGCAGTTGGGAGGCTCCGACAGGTCCAGCCTTGTCACGAAGCTGGAGGACCGAAATCTACTTCTGCTTACGGGACGGGCAGCGCAAGAAGCAACTTCTTGAAGTACGCAGCACCAGTGAGCTGTGCTTCATGACTTCATGTCATTTGCGACCGTTCTGAGGCACAAACGTTATCGCCAGCACTAGATTGCCGACAGTTGCTTTGGAAACGGGTACCCCAAGAAGGTTCTCATTTGCCTCATATGGCAGACCTACACCATCTTGACACTGCCTTGTGCAAGAGCTCATGGCCTCGTCTCCACCGAGGTCGTAGATGTGCGCCAGCCTTGTGCCGACTTGTGCCATGCTTTGCTTTTTGGGAGCTGGAAAACCCAACGGCAACTTGGTCCAGCACACTTTGGAGGACGACCCCTCCGTGGCATAGCGAGCAAACTTGTAGTCCTCAGCATCCACCAAGGTAGCACGGCTCATGCCGCTTGTCGGCGCCCATTCTCAAGCTACCGACCAAAGCAACTGTTGCCTTGGGCTGGTCCTGGGAATCAAGAAGAGGTGCCTCAAACGCACGAGAAAAAGCCCCAACATTCCCCCAGCCTTCTCATCCTTCGTGGGATTAATGAATCGGTCCACCAACGAAGTTTTGCCAGACCTTTTCGTTGCACGGGAATCTGCCGACAGCCAACAACTACTTCACAACTCCGCATCGCATGGTCTTTCACGTGACTTGCATGTCTGTCGAGAAGCTTCTTCGATCCGCAAAAAAGGATTGTCACGTCCTGAAGGCACAAGGAGGTATATACGCAGGGCGCGGTTCTCCTTCGTCTCGAATTCTTGAATTCTGAGGCAGTTGCGTTTGCAAACTCTTCACCAGCAGATCTCTGACCATACTCCTTTGGGCAAACGCACAGCTACACAGGTCCGGTTGGCAACATTTGCCGACCCACTCCTCGGTTAGTCTTGCGAAGATACCGCTTGAGAAGTCGTCGACTTCCTGCCGTGCAGCTGCACTCCTCTCATAAATTAAGAAACTCCACCTCGGTCCTTCTTCTTGACTTTGGCCATGAGCTTGCAGGCCCTGTCGCCAGCTCCGATGGCTACAGATCGTAAGACAATGGTGCTGTGCCGTGCGCCTGCTTCAGATCCGAGCAGGTCCCAAGGGACACACGACCTCAGCCCTTAAACCTCGAGCCAGGAGAGGCAGAATGCAGGAGCTTTTGGCCTGTCTTTCATGTTTCACTGAGGAGCACCGTGGCATGAGTTGCGTAGTTGCTGCGTTCAGCGTTGCTTTGTTTCCGTGGAGCCATGTGTCAAGCCCAGGCAAAAGCTTGTGAAGGCTCCTTCAGGAGCACCTTCTGAGACTCTTGAGATGTTGTGATTCCTCATATGAACTCTGCAGGGTCTTCCTGCAGAGTTCACGTTGAATGCCTTAAACTGCGATTACTGGCAGGGCTATATACTGTTGCTCAGCAAACACCCGAGAGTTTGCCAAGCTGCGAACCCGTCAAGAGGATCTCCGCGGTCTTTCGTGGAGAGCACTCGTGTGCATTTACAGGGAATCTGTACAACTTCAGGCACTGTCACAACCTGCGACTCTACTGCGTGACGCGCAGCTTCTTCGAAGCGCTTGACCGTTGTCTAGGACAAGGGACTGACCTCCAAACACGTAACTAATCGTAACTAGGTTGACTGTTGCTCGCACGACTCATGGTTGTAGGAGTCGGGTTAACAGATGGTAAGTGGTAACAACACGGCACAAGACAATTTACAAGGTGAGCAAACAGCGAGCACAAGCCCAGAGCCTCTCAGAACCTGTGTCGCTGCGTGGCCTTCTCAGCCTGTCGCAGCGCAAACCTTAGTAGGCAGCTCAATAAGAAATTTCCGCATGCAAGCCCCAAGAGCAGGCTGCATGCATGCTCTTCATTGAATGAGCTGAATGCTCCAAGTGCATGCGGTGCCTGTGAGGCGCACCAATGCTACTGTGATGGGCCCATGCCAGAAAACCCGGGGACGACCGCAGATCCGTGAAGAAACCAGGGAGGCAAAGCGCAGACCAGTTGAGCCATTTGACGACACGATGCCTGCAACGAGCGGCCACCTCAAACCCGCAAGACTCCTCATACTTCTCCTTCTTCACGAAGGCCGGCCAGTGGCACGGCCACTGGATGCTTGGGAAGCTGCGGAACCTGTACCCTGCTCTGTGCAACTCGGCGAAAAAAGAACATCAGAGCATCAGCGCTTGCATGTGCTCGGGAGTCCAATGGCAGAGATGCTGAAGTGAGAGGCTGTGAGGCGAAACAGAGTGCAGAAGGCGAGGGCCCGACAACCCAAACGGCGACACTGGCAGCTTAAGTGCCCCATCAATGTCAAGTGCTGCAGCTCATAGGCAAGGCAAAGAGCAAAAGGGAGAGCAAAAAGCACGAGTGGGGAGAATGGTTCCTTGGCCTGACCTGCGATAGCAAAAATAACCGAAATCTCCGACTCTCCAATTCGGAGGCCGCGTGGCTCTTTCAGCTTCCTGTAGCTGCTGATGGGATATGGCAGCTCCCGCAAGTTTTGTTCTGGCCGGACACCAAGGAAGTTGCTAAGCATTTCCATGAGCTCCTAAGCTCGCAAAACAGCACGCTGTGTGCAACAGCTCCGTCACACCAATTTCGCCAAGCATCATTGGCATCCAAGTTCTTGATGTACGAATCAGAAATTGGCCAGACACCCAGAAGTTCCTGCTGTTTTTCATACGTGACCTAGGCCAAGCAATGTGCTTTCACCATCAAGACTCTGCCAACTGTACGGAGCTTAAGCTCTGGGCGTTCTCAATCAACGAGAACGGCTTGTACATGTGCACCATGCCGTTCGGTCCCGTCACCAGGGACCGCAGGATCTTGAGGAACTCTAAAATGTCCTGCACCCAGCTGAGCTGCTTTGCACGTGTGGGCGTAGAAGGAAACAAAGGAATCGGTTGTTTGGTCGGGGTAGCTATGGTTGTCAGGTTTTTGTTTTGCTGTGACAGAAAAATTCGCCCAGGTTTCCGGTCGAAGCCGCGCTCGTGTCTAAACCCCGCGAGATCTTGGCCCGTCCTTTCAGAAGAAAAACCACGTTTTTTTGCAGTGCTTTGCTCAGCTGATGCTCCAAAATGTGCACTCACCTCAATGCCTTGACGCATTCCGAGTTCGAAGTGATGGCAAAAATGATGGGAATAGGAGGGGTACAACAAGCAGACAAGGATCGGGGACCTGCCCGAGCCGTTTGGAGGAGCTGCAATCCGATGCTGCGGGGGTTCCCGGCTGTGAGCCCCTCGTACAGAGACCACGCCAAAAAAGCACGAAAAACGCAGCCTTCCTGGGACCCCTCAAGCCCGCTCCAAGCCCGTGCTACACTGCTACAGCAAGTGACATATGTACACCCCTCCGTCGGGGGGGGGGTCCAGCCCTGCCGAGGCGGCGCGCCCAAGCGTTTACGATTTGTTTCTGCATGCATTTTGACCCTTCTGTGATTATTCGCTCTCTCTGTCTGCTTGTCCTCTTCGTCTATATGTAATTATGTCTGTCCTGCGATGTACTTCTTGGTGTTGCCCACAAGAAGAACAAAACACAAGTACCTAACAACCACAACAACTTTTTGCATTGCACTCACGGCCCGATAAGCATGTGCACGCGATCACATTGGATCGAGGTCGATTTGCTACTGGCCAGTTGTGTCTGATGTAGAGAGCACTTGTTCCGTGCGGCAGTCTGTTTGTCCACGCAGCAGGACTGCGTGTCGAAGGAGTCATGATTGGTTAGTTATCGGTGTCTGTCAGCCCGGCCCTCGGGTCAGCAGCTTCCAGCACCGAAGTGACACATTGTCCATGCTCGCCAGTTCGTACGTCAGTTGCTCTCAGCAACAACAGCAACGACAGCAACAACCATTCTCAAAACACCGAACGGCTGCAGTGGAACGCCAACGGATGATTTCGGGAAAAGACCGCATCAAGACCACATCTTCAAATCCAGCCAGGGCTCGATGCCATCAGTACGCTCCGTGTCGATAGACGCCCTGGGCAAGATCACTCAGCATGCCGCTGCGACAACACGTGACTGTGACAACACAAGAAACTTCGGAGAAACTCATGTCGAGAAGCAGCACATGCTTCAGTTGCTGCTCATCTGGCATCCGCGCGATCAGTGGAATCAAGACCTGTGCCAGGATGTGCCAGGGACAAAAAGGTGTGAGAGCCACAAATAGGTCTGGAGCTGATGGTTACTGTATGATCCTTCATGCGGAGGTGGGCTTTCTTCGATGAAAACGTGAAGTCTTCCGCGGCTACTTACTTTCACGGACTTTCGCGGGGACTATGTTCGTTATCGTGTCAGTATGATTCGGATGTCATGATTTGTGAGGGGTACAGCGACTGCAGAGTTGAGGGTTCTGGAGTGACTGGCACGTTGGTGGGTCAGTTCTGGCCGCAGTTCATCTATGCAGGCTGCTCTCGGAACCGCTGGACCACTGGACAAAGACTATCTCCTTTTCCAACTGCATGGAAAGCTGGCCTCTCGAAGCTCACCGCGGGTCAGCTTGTTGTCTCCATTTCCATCCGCCATGTCGAAAGCTGCCTGACAAGCCGGCATACGCTTGAATGCGCGTTCTCAAGAGCGATCAGACGTAAATAGACGCCGACTGACCCACTCATGACCACATGTCGGCCATGGCAGTGCAGCAGCAAACCTGGATGTCTGACAGCTCTGTCATGGTGAAGTTGAGAGCTTTTGCCGCCTGCTTTCCGTACACAGCATCGTGACATGGTTGCTTCAATCAGCACTGCAACAGCAGCCTACCTCACTCACCTCGCAAGCCATCTAGCCTGGCAAATGCGCTCACCCTGAAGTTGGCTCAGCCGCTCCCACACCAGCTCATAGATCAGACAGAACCCATAGAAGTCGACCATTCCTTAGGCGTCATCATATTCATCAGCAGATGTTCAACAAGTTCCTCCGGGCAAAAGGCGTGCTCGCAGAACATTCAACACAGCACTCAACCCCAAACCCATTGAAACCCCATGAAGTTCTGCACACGTACTCTGAGAGGAGAGGCGGGACCGTCGCTGCTCTGAGCTGAAAACGTGCCGGATGTGTAAGAATTATGTAATAATGGTGTGCCTGCTGATTTGAGATCCCGGAGGATCAAAGGTTTTGCCCAGTACTACTACAAGATACTACAAGTAGGTAGCTCTTCTGATGCTGAGAATGTCTGCTCCGGAAACTGCATTTGTCGTCCATGACTGCTTGCGTGCATATGTGCACAAGCTCGTGTGTACACAATGAGATGAGCGACTGCAGATTGAATCTGACTGCATGGCAAGCTTCCAGCATCCTCTGCCATCAGCGCTTGTCGCTGCCTGCGAGACCCAGACAGAACATGCAAGACAATGAAAAAGTGTCGGTCAGAGCTTGCCTCATCTTCCTAGGGCTTAAGCTGCTGCTGCGTGGAGACGATAGAGACAAGGGCGAGTCTGCTTCGCCTTGGCCACGGTCATGTTTCCCTTTCACTGGGACACTAGGAAACCAGGTTCGCGGTCACTGCAACCGAAGACATGCCCGGAAACAAAACCATGTGATGCGGAGGAAGAGCTGCTGGGCTGAAGCACGGCCCGTAGATCAAATTCCTTCCAAGCCAAACACGCAACCCTTGAAACAACGGCTGACAGCACAGCAGCAACAGGATAAAGTTGCAGAGCGACACTGCCTCATCTAAGAGTTCCTGGGCCAAGGCATACTCATTTCGAGAGCGAAGGAGGCCCTCCTTCGAGAATACAATTTCGCACCGACGTTGCACAACAAACAACCGTCAACAATACAATACACCAGCCTGAGCAAGGGCTGCCACAATCTGATCGAAATCAAGGCAGCCACTCCTAGGATAGGTAAACCCTGTTGGCTGTCACTTTCCGATCATTAAACTCACCCGACACAATTGTCCAGGAGTCTGGTCAAGCTCCAGGCCCAGGTAGAACCGCTGCAAATGCAATCGCCTCCGCTTCATCCTTAACTTCCGCCAAGAGCTGCTGCACAACAAGCACTGTGCCGGCATCGCGTTCTAGACCAATTTCTTATTCCCCCAAGACTCATGAATGAACGTAGCTGGTCCACAAGAAGCAGGAACTCATTGAAGTCCTCGGCTGAAGCGCAGACATCAGTGACACTCTTGTCTGTACTCTCATACGCCTGCTTGGGTCAGCCGCAGGTGGAAATTGGGTGGGAAGTAAAGTGTTTTCGTCGTGCAAAGCTGAGGCAACTGAGGCAGACTCAATCTCGTCATCATGGTTCTCGTCCACCTGGCTGATGATGTGGTCCACCCTCAGCTCTGGCACGAGCAGCTTCGCGCACATTCTGCAAACATTCGCAGCGCAGCCTTCCTTGTCATCAATGTGAGATAGTGTGACTCGCTCGTCGTGCTTGGTGACTTAGTGGCTGTTACGGCTTGCCAAGGAGCATGTGGGCCACGCTACGCTTGTACGGCTCGAGGCCTCAAAGACTGGAATGCCCACACGGCCGACTTAGAAAACCTGCCAACTGATTTTTGCCTCGTGCCAAGTTGCCCATGTATTTCAGCAGCCGTCGAATTTCGTACTGGCCCAGGAAGCCACTGTGATCGTCATCATGAGCAGAAAACATCTCCCACATCCAAAGTAGCTCAGGCCTCACAAAGTGAGCTAAGAGACGCTCGCCCGACAGTGTAAGAGGGGAGTGACAATTGAGTGACGGAAGTTTCCGGGAGGGGGGAGGTCCGGCCTGTGCTTCTTGAAGCGGCTGTCAATGACCTTTGCTTGCCGAGCCACTGCCTGAAGGCAAAGCCATGCAGCGCATTTTTCAAAGGCCAAAGGGCTGGCGCTACGGCCATGGCCCCATGGCCTTCCCCTTTTCAAAGGCAACAAACTGACAACAAAGCTGTGTTGCCAACAGCTCTGTTTGTTTGTACTGCCATTATGTTCCATCTTTTTCTGCAGCCACGTTGCCCATTCCCTGGCACTCGCTGCCCGCGCGGCCCTCTCTTCCAACTGCAGCAAGCGGATGTGCACCTGGACCAGGACTCCAGGACGTGCGCATACAGCGTATACAGGCGCGTGGTCTGCTCCACGCTGGGCCGCTGGCCTTTCTACCCCCTTCATGGACTCTGGGCAGCCGAGATGTTTGGAGTTCGAGCGCACAAGCTTTTTGGATCTAGGCCGTCTAGGCCCAGCTCAGTTCTGGCAGTTGACATTTGTAAGCCACTGACTTCTACTGTAAGACTGGAAGAACTCTTTGTTTACGTGACTTGGTGCCACCTTCCTCACCTAGAGATGACCTCATTTAACTGAATGAAGTTGCCCCACTTGCAGCAAAGGGGGTAACGTCACAAAGGCAAAGATGAACATTCAACTTCCCTATTCCCCATCACAGCGTTGCGCAGTGCCCCACCATCTCCAAGTCCAAGATTGTTTCAGGCCTCAGACAACACAGAAATATTTCTATGTGTTTCCGTCATTTTCTGCCAGTACTTGCAGAGAGACGAGAGAGAATGACGAGAGGTCTACTGCGAGACATCAGCTGGAGCCGAGCTGCCCCACTTTCTGCTTCTCGCGCTTGATAGCAGGTGGCAGTGGGCCTTTCGCTTCTCAGAACCGCGGGCTCGGGACTCGGGGCATGCTCAGCTTCTGCAGCGAGATGGCCTTTCGCCTTGTCCAGCTCAAGCGATGCAACCAGCTTTTGGAACTGATCGTAGTTGATGCCGCTGGGGTTCGGCGATGCCTCAATTTCCTCAGACGTCCATTGCGCGCATGCTCGCACGTGGAGGGAGGAGGGAGAGAGGGAGGGAGGGAGGGAGCGGGAGGGAGGGAGGAGGGAGAGGGAGGGAGGGAGAGCGACCGAGCGAGAGAGAGAGAGAGAACGTGGCGAGTGAGAACGCGTTGATTGGCTCCAGTCCTATGTAGACCGGCCTTGACGAAAAGGCGGAAGTGTGGCTCAGTCCTCAAAAAGAATTAGAAGAATATCGGAGCTGGTGCTATGCTTCGACAGTGTCCTCTGCTCAAAGAGTTCCCATCGCGCCACTGGGACGACCTGAAGCACTTGCTTCGTTTATCAGAGCATTCTTTCAAATCAGATACATCTATGTTGTCTCAAATTATGTCTCATAGTGGTTCGTCGAAATCGGCCTCGGCCCCAAAGGCCTCGACCGGGATGCCGGTCGGGCGCGGTGTCTTCTGCTCCATAGCTGCAACCAGTTCCTCTTGTGCTCAAAGTGCAGGGCTCAGCAAAAATATGACAAGCCGCCAGTTCAAAGTTCTCCAAGTTCTCCTTGGCAGCCTGTTCATCCTTCAAGGTGGATGACCTTTGAGCTGTCTCTGATCCACTCATGAAACGCAACAAACAACCACTGCGGCTGGCTTGTGATGCTTGGGCCTTTGTGCAGCACTGACTGAAGACTGTCGAATGCCTGTAGCGCTCGCTCGGCGGTTGTGTTGTCGGGCTCGAACCTTGCCAAGAACCACCCAAACCCAACTTCGCAGATGGATTCAGCTCCAGGCGGGCTGGTGCCAAAAAACAATTTAGCAAGAAACACGTAGAAAAAAGTCTTACTCGCCTCTCGCTCCATTCCAGCAGCAGGGTCCCCAAAGGGCTTTTCTTTTTGCAGGAGCGGGGGAGGGGGGGGAGGCTGTTGATGGCGTGCTTGGATTTCATGCTTCTCGGTTGTTCGAGCATGTTCGGATCTTGCCCTTGCACGCTGACGAAGTGTGGTTCTGGGGAGCTCACCGGCGGGGTCGGCTGAACGGTCTTGGTCTTGGCCTGTGCCATGCGCGCCATGGGGAGGGCAGATAGCCTCAGCTGAGGACGAAATTGGATTGTACAGGAGAGCCAGGCACTGAAATCGATTGAATCCTGCTTCGGGCTTGCAGCTCCCTGGGCGTTCTCCACCACACCTGCGGAGATCCTTTCGGTGCAGAACCCCAAGCTCCCTGGATGCCTTGCTCTTCCACACCTTGGCTCCGCGTCTGCCAATGTCTGCTTGTGATTGAAGCTTTTTTGGTGCCCTTATCCAGGGATGCTAGTGGAGCTTCATGGGGGCTTTAGAACCCGGGAGCCGAAGCCCCGTAGGGCCGCAGGGTGCCGTGGGCTGCAGAGGGCCCTCAATGCCGTCAAAGCCATGGCGCAAATCAGCTCTTTCACCAGGGATCCAACCGCGCGCTCCACCACACTTCGCTCCACCATGGTCCGGCCTCTCTACCACCACACATCAAATCGCGGTGCGCGCGCCCGGTCTTTTCCAAACACACAACGCGCCCCAGAGAAAGCGACAGAAAAAAAAAGGAAGAGAGACAGCAGCTAACAGCGGGAGCCTCGCAGGCCCATGTCCCGCAGGGCATCCAGAGCTGCTTCGGCAGTGAGCATCTGATATTGGTTGCAGTGGAGCTTGAAGGCCTCAGGCGGACCGGCATGGGTACAAAGAGAGCCAGATCCGGCGTTGTCATCATGTGTTGTCACCCTTTCAGCCCTCACTCATATAATACTCCTATATTCGTGGGTTCTCTGGAAGTAGGAAGGAGGGGAGTCCGGGTCCAGGTTCGCTGAAGTTCATAACGATGAAAACCACACGAAAACACAAACACGTGACCAAGATGGCATCAGTGCAAGGAAGCACAGCAACAAGCGCCAAGAAAGTTACCCGGGGACCTCACAGACTCTGTGGCAACACGTTCTGCTTGGGGCAAAGCTTTCCACAATGCCTCGCGGCTCTTGATGCTCTTGCGCAACGCTCTGCATGCACGTCCCCCTACATCCGTACCTGTAGTGCGCCTCAAGTCGTGGGCACCCGGCCTCTCGGTACCTCCTCTTCCGGTTCATGCGATCGACAAACTTTTTCTTCTCCTAGGGATCTCAACGGAATTCTTAAGGTTCCACGATGTGCCCACACCACCCCACACCCACAAATACATCACAGTACAGCAGAGTAAAGTGGCCCGAATTCCATTGATGGCTGCTTCTTTCACTCTCCTGAGTGACAACTGGTTCCACGACATGGACGACCCGCATCCGCAAACAGATCCAAAGAGTTCCAAGAGTCTTCCGGATTTGCTTGGAGCGCTCGGAGAGCTTCCGCTGCTCCAGCTCCACCGGATCGGCCTCCTGCGGTGAAAACCCTGTCGCATGTCCTGCCTATTGCTCCTTGATTAAGAAGTCTCTTTGCCGCCACATGGAGCCACATGTGATGCCACAGTGTGGCTTCTGCATGCGGGCCTCCGAGTCTGAGCTCATCAAGCCACCATACTCGGAGCCCTGGCCGGGCAGATCCGGGCAGTTGCGCAGCGTTGTGCAGCAGTGTGGATTGTCAGTCAAACTCTCATGCCGCTTAGGCCTCTTTGTCTTTGGTGTCAGCCTCTACTGTGGGCAACTGGATGGAAGCTGAAAGCTTGCCCAGCACCTCATGAGACTCAAAATTTCAGACTGTGTCGGGCATTCTCTGGCGCCACCCATACGCCGAGCCCCGCCTGCTGCAAGCGTTGGTTCCTGTCAGCTTCCCGCGCCTTGGAGAACTTGATGAACAAATTGACGAGTCCGGCCAGTGCCGATGAGTGTTGAGTATCCGATGCGGTAGTCGCAGTCTGATGTACTCTGCACACTGTCTGAACACTGCCAAGCTTGCGGCATCGGCAGGCTGTGCTGCCTAGCATCGGACAGCATATGGCAGCATCGGCCGACAACATCAAGCCTCTGGTAACCCGAGCAACTTGGCGCACCTCCTTGTCATCCGGGCTTTCGACTGTTTCGCGCCGCTGGCGGAAGGCGACAGCAGAGCGGCGCGCTTTCTGTCCTTCTTCCTCGCGCTGCGTCAGAACGAGGTACCGAAACTACAACAACGCCTTCACTTGTGTACCTTGAACTCGGCACAAGCCAGGAAACGTGGGGCCTCGATCACACGTCTCCTCCGCTGCGCGCGTTCAAGATTTTGGCGCTCCAGCCCTCTTTGCACCACTGGGACCTGGATCTGTGCCATGGACATGCACACGGTAGCCGGGGACCAGTTTCACAGAAGCTCTTGTCTTGAAGCTCTCCTTCCAGAACTTCGAATCTGATACTCTAGAGCCTGAAGCCCATGTTGCTCGATGAGCCCGATGTTTAAGCTCTGCTTGCTGGTTCGCTCCCATCTGTACCTTGTACAGCACTGTGCAGGTACAGGAAGCCTTCACGTTGTTTCATTTCCCCCTTGTCACAGCTTCTTTCTGGAGCTTCTTCTGGAAAACTCGAGTTCGCAAAGTCCCGTACAAAGTGTTACACAAAGTTTCCTTTCCCACTGAAGCTGTGTTTGGAAGCTCTTTGTCCTGAAGCCCTTGTTGCCAACGTTATTCTTCGCGAAGCCTCTAATTCTCTTTTTCCTCCTGAGGCTCGTCTTGAAGCGGTTTCTTTTCTTGCGGTGCATGAATGCACTTGAACACTCAACTTTTCACCAGTGTCTCTCCAGATGTCGTTTTTGCATCAACGAAGCCCCCAGCCAGAAGGGCCTCGAACCTTGATACTTGATACTTAAGTTAAGGAT